AAAATATATTAGTATTATTATTTAGACTTGGGTGTGTGGATTTATTATAAGTTGAGATAGTTTTATTTTGTAGAAAGTTAAAATAAATAAAAAATAAGGTATTTAATATTAACTAGTGTGTACCCCCGTGCGATCCACGGGAACAATATTAAATTAACAATATTATAAATAGACCTCGAGTTTGAGTCAATGGCGGAAGTGAAAACTACTATTGCTCGTATTTAAAAAGAGGAAGAAAAAAAATAATTATAAATAAAAGAGGAGGATAAACAATATTTAATAATTATAAATTAAAGATTCGGGGTCAAACAATGTAAAATGATTTTGTATAAGAGAATATAAAAAAATTTGATTACACACCATTTCAAAATTATTATTATACTTTTTTGTATGGTTAGCTTAGAATATTTGTAAAAATATTAGTAATTAGACCGATGAAAATTAGCTTCTTAAAGTAAATAATGGATTTCTAGTGGTAATTATGAATTAATTTCTATTTTATTTTATTTTTTCTTTTTAAAGATAATGGATTTTTAGTAGTAATTATGAATTGATTTCTATTTTATTTTATTTTTTCAAATCTGTATAGATAAGAGATGAGATTTTTTAAACATCTAAGATCGTATGCAATGAGATTTTGTAACAGAAGAGATAAGCTCATGTAGATTTATACTAAAAATAGGAAAAAGAAAAATAAATATTTATTGTTAAAACGATAAACTAAGAAACAGGAAAAAGAGAAACAAATCTTTACACAATTAATGAGCAGATTTTTTTGCTTATTCAGATTTATCCAATAATTACTATATATAGGATATATTTAATGATTTTGGCGGGAAAAAGTTTCTAAATTTGTAAAAAGGTTATTCTTTTTATATAATGATAGATTTCTAGACCTCGACTAGGCGCCGCCTAGGCCCTCTAGGCGCTAGGCGTTGGTCGAGCGCCTAGCGGGCGCCTAACGACTTTTAGAACACTGCTTTCATCATTTCACCAGTTTTCTAATTGATATAATTCTTTTTTTCTTTACACAATAACATACACACAAAAGTTTCAAATCTTTTTTTTTTCAAACGATAGATAACATTGCACTCCAAACAAAAGAAACAGTCCAAATACAACCGGTGATCCACTGATCACAAAGAAAGCTAGACATAATGGATACACCTAGCTCAATCAGACATGCCACTCACGGCTACATCTTGACACAACGGCATCTAAAGCCAAACTAGCACAAATGCTAACTGAATCAGAACAATCAAAACCAAACTTACAATCATACATAAGCCCTGCCAGAAAATAAATATTATCAGCTAACTCCTTACTAAACCCAACAAAAGAATCAACAGCCTTCAATTTCAATGCCACATCTTCATCATCTGTTAAAACTTTCACTTCCTTTCAATCCCAATTAAAAGCTTTCCACAGTGCTGAGTGAATTCCTTGCAGCAAGGCTTCAACATGATCATCACCATTAGGGAAAAAAATCTGCCACTTTCTCACAAGCCCTTCTTGATTAGTATCCTTAGCCATTCCTCCTATTCCACTTCCCACCCCTGGAATAACACAAGCACTGACAAACACATATTTTTGCCCTACTGTATTACTTCCAGCCACAAGATCACCTGGTTCACCATCAGTTCCTTTCTTACTAGAGTTAATGTCCTCCCACTCCTCTGTTGCCTTCAGAATAATCTCCCTCTCTGATATTCTTTTCTTTTAAAAAATCTATAGGTTTCTAGTTTTCCATAGCCAACTTAAGATATAAACAGTTAAGTTCACTCTATCCTCCCAATGATCACCTTTTTTGCCATTACAAATATCAGACCACCACCCTTTAAAATTATCAGCTCTAACCTTATTTAGATTCCACTGAACTGTGGCCAATCTCCACACATTCACAGCTCTTGGGCACTCAAATAACACATGCATAAGAGTTTCAGCATTCTCCCCACAAAGCTGACAGACAGGATCTGAAATAATACTCCTCTAACACAATCCTACAACAACTGGAAGAGCATTATTAGAGCATCTCCATAAAAACATTTTGATTTTAGGTTTTACCTTGATAGCCCAAGTACATTTCCACATCTTCCATACCTCCCTTCCACTGCTAGTCCCAGGCATGCCCTTCTCAAGGTCATTCAATTTCAGAATATGATTATAGCAAGACTTAACTGAAAAATTACCCTTTGGATCCAATGCCCAGATGAATTTATCTTTGGTTAAAGGATCCTGAAGAGGAATCTTTAGTATTCAGCAGCTTCTTTCTCAGTAAATATTTGCAAAAATCAGGCTTCTTTTCCACCTCCTTCTCTCAGCATCAATCAAGTCACTAACCCACTCCACCCTTCTATCTCTGCCCCTGATGCCTAAAGGTTTAAACCCTGTAATGTTAGGGATCCAAGGCGATTCCCAAACCCTAATATTTCTCCCATCCCCCACTTTCATCATTAACCCCAAAGCCAATGCTTTTCTAGCCTTTAACCAACTTTTCCAAACCCATGAATCATTGCCTCTCATTTGAGTATTACTAAGACCTCCTTTTGGGAAATACTTAGCTTTTAGGATTTTACTCATAAGAAGATTTTTGTTTGTAATTAATCTCCATAATTGTTTAGCCAAAAGAGCTTGGTTTAAGGCTTTTAGATATCTGAAACTCAACCCCCCATCACATTTCTCCCTGCACATTTTCTCCCAACTCACCCAAGCTTGATTAGTTTTACCATCTTTATCCCCAACCAAAATTTTCTGATTTGAACATTTATGCCTTCACAAATAGATTGAGGAATAGCAAAGCAAGACATAACATACACTGGGAGGGAATTGATAACAGATTTAATGAGTACCTCTTTCCCTGCTCCACTGAGTAATTTACTTTTCCATCCTTGCATCTTGGCTTTGGTATTGTCCTCCACAAACTGAAAGATCCCTTTTTTTTACCTGCCTATCACCATAGGTAATCTCAGATACTTTCTGCTCAGATGGTGCATCATACCTCCCAAGGCCCTACATACATCTTCCTTGACCCCCAAATCAGTATTTTTGCTGAAAAAACAAGCTGACTTCTCTACATTCACCAACTGTCCAGAAGCTTCACAATACTCCCCCAATATCTGTCTAATACACTGCACAGACTTGGTAGAAGAATCACAAAATAATAAAGCATCATCCGCAAAGAAAAGATGAGTGATCAATGATCCCTTTCTACAAATTCTGATACCCTAAAATGTATTTCTGAGGGATGCTTGCTTTAATAAGTTGGAAAAAGTCTCAGAAAGTAAGATAAAGAGATAGGGAGATAAAGGATCTCCCTGTCTCAAGCTTCGAGAAGGCTTAAAAAACCCACACACTTCCCCTCCAATATTGAAAGAAAAATTAACAGAACGAATACACTGAAAATCCCACCCAATGAACTTACTATGGAATCCCATTTTTTTTAGCACATCAACCAGAAAACCCCATTCTACCCGATCATACGCTTTAGCCATATCCAATATAATGGCCACAAAACTCTTTTTACCCTTTCTCAAATTTTTCAGGAAGTGAAGACACTCATGAGCCACCACCACATTATCCAAAATCTGCCTTCCCGGCACAAAAGCGGCTTGATTAGGGCTAATACACTTAGAAATAACTTTCTTCAATCTCAAAGCCAAAATTTTAGAAATCAACTTATACACCACATTACACAAGCTTATCGGTCTATAGTGAGAAATTTTACAAGGATTCTTAATTTTGGGAATAAGAGTACTGAGGGTGTGATTCACACATTTAGGGATTCTAGAGCAACAAAAGAAATCAGACACTGCTTCAAAAATACACTTCTGGATTTTATCCCACACAAATTGAAAAAAGAGGGGTGACATACCGTCGATTCCCGGAGCTTTGCTAGGATTCATTTCAAAAAGAGCCCTCTGAATTTCCTCCATAGTCACAGCAGCAGTAAGGTCTTTGGGAGATGGATATAGGCAAACCTTCGAGCACTCTTACATTAACTTCTGGGTTGGAAGATGTGAACAAATTTGAATAATGATGTAGCACTTCCTCCAACACCTCCTCCTGAGAGTTGCACTCCTTATCTACCCTGTTCTTCAATTTTTCCACTGAATTTAATCTCCTTCTTTGAGCAGTACAAGCATGGAAGAATTTCGAGTTCTTGTCACCCTCCCTTAACCAGTTAATTCTGGATTTTTGCCTCCAAAACGTTTCCTCCTCCTTATAAGCTTTTTTAAGTTGAGAATTTAACACCTTCCAGCACCTCCCATCCTTAGCACCACCCATCTTCATCAGCTCCTCCAGTTTATTATTGCAGAATTTTATCTTCTTTGCTGAGTTAGTCTTACATCCTTTCTGCCAATTGAGAAAAGCCATCCTGCAGTTGACAATCTTTCTCAAACACTCTTTGCCTACAAACATAAATGTAAAAACATCAGTCCAAACAGGTAGTGCTCAACAAATCACAAGCCAGTGTCATTAATTGCTCATGATCATCATCTTATATTTGTCAAATCCAATCCAAAAACTCCGGTCCACCGGAAGGACTGCGGCCACTTGACCGTGTTCACAATAATCAGGAGTTTCAACTGTGTATCCCTTGTTTTGCAAAACCTCTTAATTTCATATTATCATTTAGAAAGAAAACTACAAATTTTATATTTTGTGTATTGTTTAAACTTACTATCTGTAATTTGTTAATATATTGTGTAGTTACAGCGTATAATGCACTTGTTGTTAAGGTGCTGACCAACCACATTCCCCAGCTTGTATAATTAAGCTCCTACACAGTTGGGTTTCTTACATATAATTTCAGTCCCGTGAAATTATATGATCTATTTTATTCAAATACTTGACAGAAAACTGAAAGTTTTTGAACCACAGGTGGCCACTGTCTCCCATCACGAGAAAAGTCCCTAAAGAAAGGCCATTTGCTGAAGAAAAATAGGAGGAAAAGAAAAACAGCAAGAACAAGAAAATAAAGTATAAAAAAGTAAATAAAAAAACTTGGTTGGAGTTTAACAAACCGAAAGCAAAAGTACTTGAAATGAATCTGCTTCTCGTGATCATGCGAGAGGCCCTTCCTAAAAGTAACACATTACGTGTGAGATATTGCACAAGAAAATGCACATATAAATTCATCATCACTATTAACAATCAAGAACTCTCAAGTGTTAACATTTTTTTCGTAAACAAAAATCAATAACAAAAGGATCGAAGCAGCATGTTTCCTGAACACAAACCACAAACGAAAATTGAAATGAGAGAGACCTCAAGAAGATCCACCGGCACCCATTTCGTCGATATCCACGAAGAGGAGGAAGAAGAAGAAGTAGACGATGAGCACAAGCCCACGAAAACGGACGACAAACAAGAAAAACGCCTCAGAAAACCCACCAAACCTCGCGAAACAAAAAGACCCAACCGAAACTTCAGCCGGCAGGTCTCATTAGAAACCGGATTCTCAAAACTCAACGGCGGCGAGACCAAAACTTTATCGAGAAGCGGCAACAGTTTCGGAGGATTCGGATCCGCACACAGGAACAAAGGCGATTTCAGAATGTTCCGGACTAAATCGAACCTCGTCGGTCAGAACTCCAACCTCGTCGACAATAACGACACGTCGGGCCCACTCAACGAGCCTCTCGACCAAAGCGTCCCTGCAGGGAGATACTTTGCTGCTCTTCGCGGCCCTGAACTCGACGAAGTCAAGGTATAAAAAATAATGCACTCACAATTACACCATTTTGTCTAACCGTTAGACGTGCCGATTTTTTTTTTTTCGTTTCATGCAGGATTCGGAAGACATACTCCTACCAAAAGACGAAACGTGGCCTTTCCTCCTCCGCTTCCCGATCGGCTGCTTCGGCATCTGCCTCGGGCTCAGCAGCCAGGCCATCCTCTGGCGGGCCCTCTCGACGAGCCCCGCCACGTCATTCCTCCACGTCACCCCGCTTGTCAACCTCACCATCTGGCTCCTAGCTGTGGCCGCCCTCGTGGTGGTCTCGGCCACATACGCCCTCAAGTGCGCCTTCTACTTGGAAGCCGTGAAGCGCGAGTACTTCCACCCTGTCCGGGTCAACTTCTTCTTCGCCCCGTGGGTGGCGTGCATGTTCCTCGCCGTGGGCCTGCCACACCAGATCGCAACCCGAATCCACCCGTCCGTTTGGTGCGCGTTCGCGGGCCCCGTTATTCTACTGGACCTCAAGATTTACGGGCAGTGGCTCTCGGGCGGGAAGAGGCGGCTGAGCAAGGTGGCGAACCCGTCTTCCCATCTCTCGGTGGTCGGGAATTTTGTCGGCGCCGTGCTGGCGGCGGAGGTCGGGTGGGCCGAGGCCGGGAAGTTTTTGTGGGCCGTGGGGTTCGCGCACTACCTTGTGGTGTTCGTCACTCTTTACCAACGGCTGCCCACGAGCGAGGCCTTGCCGAAAGAGCTCCACCCGGTTTACTCCATGTTTATAGCGACCCCGGCTGCTGCAAGCATTGCTTGGGGCGCGATTTACGGAGAATTTGACGGGCTTGCCCGGACGTGCTTTTTTATAGCCCTTTTTCTATACTCGTCGCTCGTCGTCCGTATCAACTTCTTCAGGGGATTTAGGTACTATATATTATTAGGCAAAATTGCGTTTTTAGTCTCAAAGATTTTAAATTTATGTCTTTTGATCAGTAATTTAGTTTTTTGCTACAATTTCAATCCTTTTGAACTGAAATTAATTAACAATTTAAGTCCTGTATTTTTTATTACCAATTTAAGTCTTGTATTTTTAAATTTTGTTGCAATTTTTTAAAATGATAGGACCAAATAGCAAAATGTTCAATTCTTAGGACTAAAAATACCACGAGATCAAACCAACATGATTAAAATTGCAATTTTGCCTATATTATTATTAGAGTTTGAAACAGGTGAAGCCTCACCATAAGAGGGTGAACATAAATGCACCTTAGTAAGGTTCCAGCCTACTAGGCTTATAAAATATATGTTTATTTTCCTTATAAAACCAATGTGAGACTAACTTAAAAGTGATATTTCAACATTAATGTTTTTTTTTTTTGGAGACAGGTTTTCGATTGCGTGGTGGTCTTATACTTTTCCCATGACGACTGCATCGATAGCTACCATTAAATACGCGGAGGAAGTCCCGTGTGTAGTGAGCAGAGGACTTGCTTTGGGGCTTTCGTTCATGTCCTCGACTATGGTGTTTGTGTTGCTTGTTTCGACGGTTTTTCATGCTTTCGTGTGGAAGACTTTGTTCCCTAATGACCTTGCGATAGCTATAACGACGAGAAAGCAAGGGAAGGAGAGGAAATCGGTGAAAAGTACATATGATATAAGACGATGGGCGAAGTCGAACATGGGAAAGAATGGTTCGGAAGGTAAGGGTTGTGAAGGGGATAAGGAGAAGCTGTTTGATAAGAGAGCGGGTGCTGGAAATTGAAATAGTGAAGTGATTTAATTTAATTAGTTGTGGAAAATGTGTTTTGAATAATGATTTAGGGAGTTTTTAAGGGTGTATTTGGAGTCCACTTGTAACAGCAAGGCTTATAATAAAATTCTTTTGAAGTTTAACTCCACTTTTTCCTTTCTTTGTTCTTAATTTCTCACAAAAGAATAAAGTCGCATCATTTTCTATAGTATGGGATTCTCTAGAGAAATTTGATCAAATTCGACAGATATGTGTTATTGAATGATTTGTGGCTGACATTATTAGAAAGTGACAAAAGAAATATAAGGTTTTAGTTTAGTGGACATGTTCTTGATTTGATAATTGATGCCTAAATGAAGGCCATATACTCTTTGAGACACCAATTGCTCGTGATAACCATTAAACCTAAACGAAGCTCGGACATAAATTATAACAGCTTTTTGATGGATCAAACCAAACCTGTGAATATTGCAGCTTAAAAGGTTCTATTTTCCTATTATACCCTCAAATGAACCTTGGCAAAATATTTCATTAATCGTGTCACCCTTTTTCCTCCTTTGGGTGTAAACGAGCTCGCTGCCCCGTCACGTAAACTAAACGGGTTTGAGTTCGGCTCATTTATTAATATCATCGAGCCTAACTCGAGTCTTAACCTGTCGAACTCAAGCTTTAACGAACCAAAATGTATAAAAAAAAAAAAAATTAGTCTTATCAGGGAGAGCCAAACCTGACTCGTTAACTAAACGGGTTAAGCTCATTAATCAAATGAGTCGAGTAAAGTCGAACTCACGAACGACAAATTTGTTTAAAAGCTCTATTTCCCTTGCAACAACAAAATTAATCAATTTGCAATAAATAAAGTTGAAAACGATTAAGCTGAGTCGAGATCAAACGAGGCTCGATATTTTTTACAGCTAAGCTAAAGCTCGATGAGCCGAGCATTTTAAGATTGTATAGGATCGACTCAACAAGATAACATAAACGCTCGAGATTGATGTGAATTTGATTGAGCTGAATTTTGTCTGAGTTTGACTCAAAATTTCCATTTAAAAATGTCTAATAAAATTTAGATAATCTTACGAATACTCAAATGGTACGTCGAACACTCTAACACTATAGGCTCAAGTTTGAAATTGAATTCAAAGTGCTCGACCTCAATTCGAGCTTCATCAAACTCGAGCTCTAATCAAGCGTTCTGCTTAATTCATTTTGCAATTCTGAATGGAAAATAAAGTGAGAGGATAAATATGTAAATTCAAGCTTCTCCAACACAGTCCCAACAAAATTGAATACAAAAAGGAGCCAACTTTATCCGCCTAAAAGCAGGCAAACTTTAACCGCGCAATTTCATCATCATAAAAACCAACGCCTGTTACCTTATTCAAAATTTTTATTTTCAATCTCATTAAAGTTTATGCAAGAACATTGCTATAATTGAATACATGTAAACTTTAGAGTCTCAAAAAGTTTTAATTGAATACTCTCAAATTTCAAAAGTTTTAAAAAGTCTCTAAGAGTCCTAATTGAATACACCCTCTAAGACAGAATCTGGAGAACAAGTTCTGATCTTAACCAATCCTTACTTAATAGCTAATTAGATCCTAAAAAATGTAATGATATCGCTTTTAACTTCTCTAGTGTAAAACTAACAAAGTGTCAAATAAATTCTTGATCTAAATCAGAGGAAAAAGAAAAGGAATTGAAGGTAAAAAAAACAATGAATAATGAAAACAACAGAAGAACATAGTACTAAACTCAGCAAGATAGATGGATTACCCTTTTACCAGAAATCCAGTTAGAGTTTGTAAAAATAATCTGCAACATTTCATGCCGATGCTACTATTAACATGATGAACTATGATAGTTCTTACACAGTTATTCAACTGCAGTATAAGAAATAATCTGCAACATTTCATACAGATGCTACTATTAAGTGTAACCCATAGCACTAGCAGTCAATCAAAGAAAACTCAGTTTTACCAGGCAAACCTATATATTCCACTTACCAATAGGCAAATATCTAAGAACTGAAGAGATCAATTCCTTTCATCTACTATAAGATACAAAAGAATGCAAGAACTTCCAATTATCTTATTGCTAACTACAAAATAATCAACTGCAAACGTTAACCTTCACACAACGAATTTCGTAAAGAATAAATAAATAAATATTAAATACCATCCGCCTTTCTCATGATTCCAAACCATTTCTTATCGACTCAAGAACCTGAACAGCTTCTGCCATGCTCGGCCTCCTCGAGGCCACCTCAGAAGTGCAGACCAATCCCAACTTCATCACCTGAATCATTTCATTCTCTGCATATCCTCTCAAGCTTCTGTCAAAACATCCAGAAGCCGAACCCCTCTCTATCACTTCCCTAACAAACTCGCCCAAAATCACTACCTCATTTGCCCCTATCCTCTCCACAGGCTTTCTTCCAGTAACCAACTCCAATAAAACAACCCCAAAACTATAAACATCGCATTTGTCGCTAATTCTCGAACTTCGAGCCAGCTCTGGCGCAACATACCCGACCACACTGTGCATCTTCGTAAAACCGTAACTGTCGAGCATAGGAAGAAATTTCACCAACCCAAAATCGGATATCTTTGCCGTGTAATTCTCGTCCAAGAGTATGTTAGTCGATTTGATGTCGAGATGAAAAACCGGAGGCTTGCAGTCGTGGTGAAGGTAGGCGAGTGCCCTAGCTGTCCCGACAGCTATCCGGAACCTTCTCGGCCAATTTAGGTCCGGATTACCCGAGCCTGTGCTCGTTCCAGGGTAACCGAGTCCATGCAAGTTTTCGTACAAATTCCCTTTAGGGACGAATTCGGAAAGAATTAACCGCATGGTGGACGACCAATAGTAGCCTTGGACAGGAACAAGATTCGGGTGGCGGAGGTTTCCAAGACGTCCGATTTCGTGCTCGAATTCGTCTTGGTTTCGAATTCTCCCGAGAGTCTCGATTTTCTTGACGGCAATTGAAGTCCCCCCCTCGAAGGTGGTTTTGTACACTGAGCCAATCGAGCCACCGCCTATCAAACATTCTTTGTCGAGCAAAGCCTTTGTGCCTATCTCCCAGTCTTCGTACCTCGAAGGAAGACTTCTGCTGAATAGGACGAGTTTACCGATAATGACATTCGATTCTGTCGAGGTCAGAGGAGGAGTGCTCTCGACAGCCATAGTTTGGCGGCCATTTTCTCTCCGGGTTTTGCGGGCCCGCATGTTAATGACTGTGATAATGCAAACGCCGGTCACGATTAAGGCAGCAGCAACTATGGCAACAATAGCCGAAGCGCTTAGTTTCGGTTTTCTTGCAGCCGGGGTTGAAGAAGCGCGGCCTGAACACGGGTTGTTCAATGGAGCTCCACAAAGTCCAGGGTTGTGAAAAAAAGCCGAGAAGCCAAACTGCTGGATGATTTGTGTTGAAGGTATAGAACCAGAAAGGTTGTTGTACGAGACGTTGAAATCGGTTAAGTTGTTTAAATTTCCTAGTGTTGTGGGGATTGGACCGGAGAGTGAATTTTCCGAAAAATCTAGAGAATGTAAGTTCGACAGATTCCCGATTGTTGGTGGTATGGCTCCATTGAGGCGATTGTGGTGCACGTCAAGAATTAGAAGGTACGTCATGTTGTCTAGGTTCATCGGAACCTCTCCCTCCAGGAAGTTTCCGGAAAAATCCCTGCAGGTACATTTTCCAGATATCTATCCATATCAGTTGAACTAGAAAGAAAAAGTTGATCTAATAAGTTAATGAAATGAAAAGTTTATTTTATAACTCACAGCTCGAGAAGATAACGGCAACGGGTTATCTCAGCTGGGATTTCACCGCTGAGTCGGAGGTTGCTTAAGTCGAGCACTTGAAGCAATTCAATATTCCCGATTTCCTTGGGAATTGTTCCGTCTATCGAGTTATTTGCTAATCGAACGAACGAGAGGCTCTTCAAACCCGATAGTCCAAGTGGTATACCTCCATCAAATCTGTTAAAACCCAAATCCAAGTACCTAAGGCCACTGCATTTGGCAATGCTTTGTGGAATTTCTCCATACAAACCATTCCCTGCAACATCAAGAAATTCAAAACTTCCGGGGCAAGTTATTATGTCCGGGATCTCTCCTTCGAACCTATTCCACGAGATATTCAAGTACAACAGGTTTGCCAATCTGAAAACCTCGAATGGACCAGGCCCAGTAAACATATTGCTACCGAGATCCAAAAGCTCCAAGCTTTGACATCTTGAGACCTGATCTTGGACATTTCCCGATAGAAAATTATTTCTGACAGATAAGTATGTCAATGTAGGTATTCTGCAAATCTCTTCCGGAAAAAACCCGTTAAGACCATTAAACGACAAATCTATACCTTCTAAGTTCAAGCAATTACCGATAGAGATGGGGATAGGCCCCGAAAAATTGTTATGCGCCAAGGAAACAAACCTCGTTCGATAACAATTCCCAAACAATGTCTGAGGGATCTCCCCACTAAACCCATTCCTTGATAAATCAAGAAATCTGATGTTGGGCAAATAGCCTAGAAACTCTGGGATTGACCCAGAAAGCGCATTGGAGCTCAAGTTAATCTTCCACAACGTATCAATATCTCCGTATTCTGAAGGGATATTACCGGTGAACTCATTACCGTACAAGGTTATAATCCTCAGAGACTTCAATCCGGACAATGCCGGAGACAACACCCCACCAAGACTAGTGTTCCACAACAAAATCTTCACCACATTTCCATTCGAATCACAGTACACGCCGCTATAATCTAGGCAAGGGCTTTTGCTGGGATTCCAAGAACTCAAACTTTGAAAAGGGTCACTAGAAATGTTACCCTTAAATTGGAGCAGAATCTCCTTTTCAGCAATTGGAGCGACTATGACTAGCGCAAGCTCTAATAAAATGAATGCAAACAAAATACAGTGGGAGGTTGTACCTAGTCTTGCCATGTTGTTTCCAACATAACCCCCAGCATTATAAGCCCACTGGATCCAATTCTTGATCTCCGCCTCTGCACATATGATGCCCCTCGTTCGAAAATGGAAGCAGAATTGCCCAAGATTCAATCTTTATGAGTTGTACAAGGAAAAATTTGATCTTGCACTGATCTTTGGAATCTTCGTCAGTGAAAAAAAATGAAGTGGGTTTCTGCACAAATGTGCATGTGAGCCAGTGTCACTTTTTTTAATTCTCTTGCTTTTACAGTTTCAAGAAGTAGTGAGATGTGTGTGTGTGGGAGAGAGAGTGAGAGAGAGGTGATGAAATGGGAAAATTGCCAGCCTTGACTGGAAAGAGAGAGAGGCATCGGACAGAAAATTTCATTAATTTAATGCTCTCTCTTTCACCCAGACGTCAGATGTTTGTTACAGCGAAGCCAAGTAAGCTCAATCTCTCTCTCTCTCTCACACACACACACACACAACCCATGGCTGTCGTCTTTTGGTGAGGGCTAATTAAAGATTATATTGGGCATTTTCAAATTTCAGGCTACGAACAAACAAATGAACAAGCCATTGTGTCTGTTAGAACTTTTAGAATGCGATTTTCTACTGTAGGGTCAGTTTTCAGCACAGAAAAGAAGGGCATTTATTCCCCCACCACCAACCGAGGAGGTCCCGACCCGACCAATAATAATTGAATTACCATGAAAAAAGAAAAAAATACTGAAAATTTACCAGAAATTAAAAGGGGGAAAATTGGTGGTTGGTTGAAATTGAGAAGGGGGTTTTTCTTCAGTATTAATGTTGCTGTTCGGTTGCCATATTGATTTGTGTTGGCCTAGTATGAAATAGACTTTAGTTTTGACTTTTGAGTGGACAATTTTGTCAATTAATAATTATATATACCTAACGTTCATTAGCTTGTGGCTAGGGGTGTCAAATTGGGTTGATTTCAATATGTTTTATTCTTGGTTTGGATGTGTTATTGGGTTTTTATCTTTTTTTTTTGGTTGACATGGGTAAAAACTCGATGACTATATGTTGAAATAAATTAAAATCATATGTCTTGATTAGACGAAGAGAAAATTTGTTCAATGACTATATGTTGAAAAAATTAAAGTCATGTGTCTTGATTAGACCATGTACAATGGTTGTCTTAATAAGCAATTGCTTAGAATATTTTAGTATTATTTTGGTGAGACCTTGTGCCATTAAGCAATTTTATGATTTAAGCAATTCAATCCCACAATGGTGAATTGCTTATTAAGCAACTCATGCGGGTCCCTTTGCAATTTTTTTATTGTGTAAAATTTTTCATTTTAAAAATTATGGAATTCTTTACACAATAAAAATCAGATTCTGATTGCTTGTGGATTGCTTATTCAAGCATTTGCTTAACCTAAGCAATTGCTTGTCTTCTCTTCACAATGGGAAATTGCTTAAATAGCAATTGCTTATTTTTAAGCAATCAGTTAAGCAACCTCATTGTAGATGGTCTTAGATGGGAAAAAATATAAAAATGTGATTGCAATGCAGTCACCAATTGAGAACCACATGCAACCATGCTTGTGAATTGAATTTTGATGGGAATATGAGTACAAATGCAAATTAAATGCCAATATGTATATCTTGCATAAGGAATCATGATGTGTGATGAATTGTGTTGTTCAATTATGTTGTTGATGAGCATTTACCATTTCAATTTATTGTATATTCCTATGGCAAACACCTTGCTAGTAATCGCCAAACTTAACATGTACACGTCATGATGCAAGATTCTCATTTGACAATTTTATATTAGATGGTCTTGTAATTCGCGAATGATCCTCACAACCTCAACTTCATAAATTTATATGAGTTGTACTTTTATTTTATTTTTATGAATGTTATATTCTATAAAACTAGTACACCACCCGCGCAATGCGCGGCATGATGTTAAAAAGGGAATGATGTTAAAAAAATTTGGTTCTCCTAATTTAAAATAAAAAAAAATGCTCTGGCATATAAAATAAGAAAAAATTTATTTTATTACACATTTTGGAACACTTCCTTAAATACAACATTAATAGTAGAAGAACCGGGTTCATTATCACTATCGCCATCACAAATAACAATTTTTAGACCATTGGGGTTCGTTACTCTAGAAATAGCAACATATAACTGTCCGCGACTAAATACAGGTTTCTTCAACAACAATCCCACGCTCGACAAAGATTGTCCTTGACTCTTATTGATAGACATTGCGTAAGACACCATAATTGGAAACTGTCGTCGCTGAAACTTGAATGGATGTCTCGGATCTGAAGGCGTCAATGACATTCTTGGAATAAGAACCTTCTGACGTGAACTTTCTGCTCCAAGAACTTCACCCTCTATAACATGATTTCCAAGTTTCGTGACAATTAATCGAGTTCCATTGCACAAACCAAGAGAAGGGTCAAGATTGCGAAGCAGCATTACAGGCGTCCCCACTTTTAAATTTAACTCATGATTTGGGACGCCAGAGCACTTAATTGAATTTAGGAACTCTGGAGTCTGGATATCATTAACCACACTTGCATTATTATCAGAATGACAGGGAGAATCGGAACTCAAATATCTTTTTGCCTCCGAAGCATTTAACGAAACCATGTAATCATTAACCGAGTTCACCACATCCAGAGTTGGAGCTAATATAGCTCTTTCCAGGTAATAAGAACGATCATCCGGGTTAGTTCAAAATGTGGGAAAAACAGCGTCAACAACTGCTGCGATCGGATCATCAAATTCCTTCACCAGAAACTCATCAGGAATATCAATATTTGCATAACCATCTTCATCCTTCCCAAGATTTCCATCTCCAATCTTCGCAATCCAATCTGCAAACTTTTCCAAATCACTGGAATTTTCACCAGGCTTCAGATTTTGCAATCGCATGTTCTTCGTCAATTTCAGGACAGTGCAATGTCTCCACAAATCAGATGAATTGATAGTTGCATGGACAATATCTTGTCGTCTTCCTTCTGGAACAACTGGCAAGATTTGACGAAAATCTTCACCAAACACAACAGTCTTCCCCCCAAAAGGCAGTTTTTTTTCTACGTGTTCGCTTAGTTCGGTTGTACTCTTGTCGTTTTATAAAGCATATTTTCTTGCAAAATAGGGAGGAAAGTCGAAACTTGTTCGTACTTCACCGTGGCGTGAATACGATCCCCCTACATTTGAAAAATGAATGTTGTCAAGATAAAGTTGATATATAAAGTACAACAAATGCAAATTGACTTACAGTTCTATCATGGAAAACACACTCCAAAGTTGAAATCTTTGACTTGTCATTGTACATAGGGACAGAGTACAACCGAACTAAGCGAACACGCAATCCCCAGTGCATGTTTCCAGGTTTGAGCTCGCTTATCATGTTGAAAAGAACCATTTTTCAGAGACTGTTTTTTTCAATTTTGCTATTATTATTTCAGTAAAACTGAAAGTCTTTTAGCTTATTTTTCCATTTTCTTCAGTATATATATAGCAACATAGTGATTCTTAGTCTTCCAAAAAATTGAAGATACATTCAATGATTTTTTAAGATATGTTGATAACTTCAATAAGTGAATGTCGACTGTTAGCTTGTTAATAAGCATTTTAATTTAATTAGATACAACTTCTTTTCTATTGGCAATTGATGGTTGATTGCATTATTAATATGTATACAGGATTTGAAAGGTTGAATCTCTAATTTTTTGGCGATTTTGCTTGCAGGTTATGCTACAAAAAGGTAAAGTTGTAATTGGAATTTGGATGTTACTGATTTCAATGCTAGAATAAATAAAGAAGTTATTGGGAGCATTGATGGTTGATTGCAGCATGATTGGGTTGACTGGACGAATAGGGTCTTGGCCAGCTTTCAGCACAATTTCCATCATAACTTTAGTGGCTGGGACTGAAGGAAATGTATTTAATATCTATACATGAACCAAATATTTCCGCTTTTTTAATTTTGTTTGCAGACTACAAAAAGTAAATATTTATTGAATGTTGGACTGCTTTTAAAGCTACATAGTTATTTGTTGTCAGCTTTTTAATGCATATACATGAATCAAATTATTGATGTTATTATGGATTATTTTAATTTAATTCATCAATTAATGTTTGTTGTAGTTCTCAATTTCAGACAGCATTTAGATTAACTTATGTTAAGCAATAAAAGAGATTTTTTGAGCGGGAAAAGAAGTTTGTTCCAGCTGATTCACTTTAATATATATATAGATAGCAATGGTCAGCTCACATGTCGATTTGTAGTTAAAGAACCACATTTTTAGTCATGACTAACTTTGAATGTCAATTTTAAAAGTTAAAGAACCACATATTTTAGTAATGACTAACTTTAAATGTCAAATTTTGAAAGTTACATTACTACATATGTGACGCAGAATGATGTAGTATATTGTAGACATAAAAGAAATCGATAATACATAAATTTTATGCATATCTATTTTTGTTTTTAGTTTTTGATCTACAACGGATGACCTATGTCTTATGTCAGTTCTCTCTTGAAATGTGGTATCTGGTAACCTATAGGCGCTGAGGAATGTGTCCAACGCAAAACTCCGATCAAGTCAAATGAGTTATAATAAAATATTTTGTATGAAAAATTACATGGTGTAAATTGTAATAATTCAATATTAGGGTTACTTCCACCAATATGAGAGACATTCATATAGAGTTAGTTATATACTCCCACAAGATTCTTTGAGAAATCTCCTCAAAATTCAAAACTTCCACATTAAAATATAGAGTATATGTTTCTCACTTATTTAGTCGTGATAAATCATTCCTACACAACCTTATAGAGCCCGCAGAACATATACTTTGGCTGTTTCTCACTTATTTAGTCGATAATGTGATAAATCATTCCTATACAACCTTTATAATAGAGCCCGTAGAACGTATACTTTGGCCTCTTAAAAGGACCTTCCAAGTATGGTCTTAGGTCGCCTAGGAATCATGCCTAAATCGCTTGAAGGTAGCCACAACTAGCTATCTCATTCCTTGAGCTCCATATTGCCCAATCAATCTCCCGCTGTAATATTGCTCCAGCTATGGACTATTTACTTAATCTCCATTTGTCGAACTGTTACAATATATAATATAATTTTCGATTGAATTAAATACCTTGTCATCTACACATATTTAACTTATTTCATTTAATTAGCTTTTACTATCTATGTTGTTCATGTTAGGCCAACCCCCAAACTAACAAGTAACAAGTCTGCATCTAAAGCTGTCAAATTCTGGTCTAGTCCCGTAATTGGGCTGTCGCTAGGCTCCTCTTTTTCCTTGGCCCAAAATTAAAAAATAGTTTTTTCAACTAAAAAATCTGAATCAATCTTACACAATTTTTCAGAAATTATGACACTTAGTGGTCTTTTTATACAATGAGCCCAGTATGAATTGTAGAGATTTCGGCCCAAGAAAGCTTGCACGGACTGTCCCAGGGCCGATAATTTGGGCTTGGCTAGTCCGACATAAAACTTTAAGAAAATTATAGGCTACACTAGAAAGTTCATTTTTAATTACACAATTAATACCCTTTTAAAAATAATTGCATTATAGTGAAAGATTACGTTTATATTTGCAGTTATACAAGAATTCAGTTGACTTAAATAATTAATTCACTAGCTAGATTAATGGTATTAATATCCGTACCAAAAAGGGCTCCCGATGCGTATGGTCAGAGGCCATTATCCCACGTCTGTAAAACTGCCCACCGCCCACTCTCTTCTCTCTCTTCAACACGATTAACATCTGCTCTCTTTCCCACAATTTTTCTCAACTGCAAACCCTAACCTTTCAAACTAGTTTCAAAATGGCAAAAACGAAAATTGGAAGAAGTCCGATAACCGGCGCCAAAGTTTTCCCTCATCGAAGATCGAGTTCGCGACTCATAAATATACAAGTTCGCAGGAAACCCACTCTCGTTAAAAAAAAAATTGCATTTCGAAAAAAAAATGAAAAGCAACAACTATCCGAGTATGCCCGGAAAGAGAAGGCCAGAAAAGGTTGACCCATCATCCGGTTCCAATGACTTTCAATCGGCCCCCGGCCACAATCTATAGAAAAGGTCACGGATACACAATGAAGGAAAGAAACGAGGTATGACACAAAAGGGGGCAACAATGGATACCGACTTTGAGGACGAAAGTCATGAAGAAGACAGTGAAAGCTATGAAGAATCGAGTGACGAAGACCACGACTTGCAAGAAAACAAGGAAAAGGGAAAGAAACGAGTAATAAAAGGTGAAAATAATGAGAACCTGTCCAAGAAGAGGAACAAACGGGGTGACAATCTGAAGAAAATCAGAAGAATACTTGCAAAATCTGGGAAAAATTAAGGTAAATCACAAGTTTCTATTATGTTCTGAAGAAAAAAAAAATTAATTTTTTAGTAGTGAATTTTTTAGTAGTGATTGACTTGTAAGATACTATGTTTATTTGAGTAAACATACATAAAATTCTCTTATTTTAGTAGTGCTGTTGTGGTGATGTTGATTGTTTATTTAAAATTCTCTTATTTTTTTTTCCTCATAGTCTGTAGTTAGAAACGTGTGTTGGTGTATATTTATCTGGTATTTTTAGTAAAAAGTTCTTTTTTATGAACATATTTGTGTATATACAAAGCTCACTTAAACCATATGTGATACATGGGTGATGCATATGTTACGGATATATTTTACCCAAATGTTCTGGAAATGAATAATGCTTGGTATAAGTATGTATTTTGTGTTTGCAGTGCGGTGTATATGTTGTGTATATGTTATTGGTATAATACCAATAATTTCGTCCAATGATGATTTTATGAACTCATACGCTATATATATGCAATATATGTTGTATATGTTCCCGGTAGTCCTTGTTGATATATACATTTTTTTATCGACCATTTTTGGATTGTGACTATATTTGTGTATATAATAAGGATATGACATGTACATAATTCGGGGGCAAAAATTTACATGTCTTTTTTTTTAGGAATAAGTATTTATTTTTGTGTTGGCAGTGCGGTGCATGTGTTGTGTATATGTTGTTGGTATATTTTCAATAATTTTGTGCAATCATGATTTTGTGAACTCGTACGCTAAATATATGTAATATATGTTGTATATGTTCCAGGTAGTCCTTTCTGTATATATATATATATACATTTTTTATCGACCATTTTTGGATTGTGAATATGTGTATATACTAAGGATATGACATGTACATAATTCGGGCGTAAAAATTTACATGTCCTTTTTTTGGGACAGGACTGAGAATTGCTCATACCAAATCCGAGGAAATTACTTGTGAAGATTCAGACCAGTAATGGTAACAGCAAACATGGGTCAACATTACTAAGAAAAGGTTCGATGCCACCATGGAGAGGCAGAAATTACATGTGAAAATTCAGACCAGTTATTGGTATATTTGTTACATCGTTCGCCGAGCATTTCATATCATACGTCGATATTACTAAGAAAAAGTTCGATGCCACCATGGAGAGGCTTAGATTCGCATATTTGTTGTATAAGCATGGCTGAATGAAGATAGAACAGGATTTGGAGAGTGAGGATGAATCTCCTGGTACACTGCGTTTCAGACTCGTGTGATGATTTACTGACTGATGATGTCCTTTTGGGACTCTTGTGATGATTTATGACAATTGTTTATGTGTTTTGGTGTTGGGACATGTTAGTGTTTTAGGTCATCTTGGTTTTTTTAGCATTTATTGAATCTTAATCGACTTTTTGACGAATTAGTTCATGTGATGTTATTGAAAGGTTGTCTGATTTCACTTAATCAGTACTTGCAACTTGTTTCATTTTTTTCTGCATAACTGTATGATTTTTTTTATGTACAAACGCACACAAATGAGATTTATAAATACTGGATATGTACATTTAAGTAAAAAAAAAAAGTATAACGAAAAAAATATATACTGCAAGTATACAGTAAATATACACTTCAAAAATATTTTTTAGCATTCATAGAATCCGTAAGACCAATCCAGAAATATATTATGAGCTATCCGGAATATAAATCTTTTTATCGTGTTGATATGTGTGTGTATATACATGCATATATATATATATATATATATATTTATTTATATTATAATTTTATATACAGGTGCAGAAAGCTAGAGAAAATAGAAAAAGTTTTGAATTAATCTTACACATGTATATAGTGTATATATACATCAAAAGAGAAAATTAAGGAGATTTGGTTCATATATATAGTGTATGAAAACGGTAATCCTTTTATACATTTTCCATAATTTTTTTACATTTTTTTTGAATGAAAACTGTAATCGTTTTATTACCTGAAATTTAGGAGATTTGGTCGATTTAATTCACAGTAATAGATATCTTGCTTTATTATATTAAATTCTATGAATTAAGTAAGTTTGCAAATCTATTACTATATAATAGAGAGAAGGAAAAATGTTTGAAAAATTATTTCATTTTACCGCTCAAATCATTTTTTCCCTCCTAAAATTTTGTTTAAAATTTTTTCGAACATTTGAAATTTTTTCATTCCAAAATTCAGTATGTTTTGGATGAGTTCAATATATTTTGGATGAGATTCCTTTCATATCGGATAAATTCAAGTTCCTTTTGATTAGGAAAAATAGATTTTTATTTTAGCAGTATATTTGACTTCTTTTTTTTTCAACCGATTATGTTTATCTTTTATTTAAAATTGAAAAAAAAAATTGTTTAAAGGAAATATTACAAACAGATTTTTTGGGTACATTCCATTTTATCAAAATTTGTTTGGATTTATATTTTTATTTATTAATATTTTGAAAGAGAAACAATAAATGTTTATCATAGCTTTTATTTAAAAAATAAATTTGAATTATCATACCTTATACTTTATATGAAATTGAAAATTACATATTTTAATATATTAATTTTTCATTATGTGATATAATCGAAATTCGATATTAACATTTTAAATTCATATATTTGAAGAAAAAGATCCTAAGCAGATTTTTTGGGTACATTTCATTTTGTCTTAACTTCCATATAATCACATTTTAACAAATTAATTTATACAATTACAATTATATAACTGGAATTTTTAAAATATAATTAATATAATATTTTAACTAATTAATCTTTTGTCTAACCGAATTTATCTTATTAACAAACTTGCCAAAATTTTTGATAGTAAGATTATTCTTACGGGTATACTTACCAGAATATTAAAGACTTTAAAAACGTTTTGAAAACAAATTTGAATTATTCCGTCTTCTACTCTATTTGAAATTCAAAATTAAATTTTTAAACATATTCATAAATATTATTATTTATTTTTCCTTATGTGATATAATGTAAATTTGGTTATATAATTTTAAATTCAAACATTTAAAGGAAAAGACCACGAACAGATTTTTTGGTTACATTTCATTTTATCTTAAATTCCATATAATCACAATCCTAACAAACTAATTAGCATAATATTTTTTACCCACATTTATATAATCGGATTTCTTAAAATATAATTAATATAATAGTTTAACTATTTAATCATTTGTATAACTTGATTTAACTCATTAACAAACTTTCCAATTTTTTTTGAAATAAAAAAAATGGATGATTTTTATTTGTAAAATAATAAAAAAATAGTTTTACTTTAAAGTCTGGATTATTTTCATTATTTTTTGTACGTTAACAATCATATAGGTTTGATAATATTCCTTAAATAAAAAATATTGTATAAAGAGAAGTGTTTAATAATATATATTTTTCATTTTTTGCATTTATTTTAATTTCATAATAGACGAGATGTGAAAAATATAAATAATTATATTTAAAATAAAGTCTAAAAAAAAATTTAAAATATGAGCTCTTCCGTGCATCGCACGGGATATATACTAGTTAATTGCTACATTGTTGCAATATTTGTGTAATCGGCGTGTATAGATAAAATTATCTCTAAAACTTTCGGTAGATCTATCGAGATCTATATCTCAGATTATGGACAGGGTGAGAAAGTTTAGAAAAAATTACATAATAACAAATTAATTTAATATTTTTTAATCGGTAAAGCCACACATGATATCTCGTTTAACCATGCTCGTTTCTCCTAACGCCGTCGCCGCTCATTTTCCGCCAAAAAAGAAGCTTGCTGCGAAACGACCCTATTCGACACACTGTCCGAGGAGCTCAGAAGGCATGGCCCATTTTGATGGGAGCTGCTTGGATCGCCTTAGCCTCCATTGCCCAATTTTCAGTGAACCCTCAAATGCTCTTCTATCTCCCCACTTGAGCTGTTCATGTTTCCAATTTTGTTGAATGGTAAACGACGATAAGTTTCCCATCTTTTCACAAGGATTAGACATTTTTTTCTAAAGCTGATCTAAGAGTGGTGGACCGAGTTCTTTTTCTTTGCAGTGTTCTTGAATGCTTGGACCAATTTTATTAATATTTGATTTATTTCTTTGTTATCTTATAGAATAGTTTACTTGATGATTTTTATGTTTAGTTTGTTGATTCCTGAAAGTGCTATTGTTATGGCTTTGGTTTGGTGGTATGATGGAAAAGTCCGGTTATGAGTCTTGGAAGGGGCTTTCATGAGGAATGGTGAGTCATGTTTCTCTTTCATTCTTCGCTTTTAGTTTGTTATGTGCAACAAATATATTTACGTGCAAAGAAATTTCGAGCTCTGTTGGCAAACTTGGCATGATCATTTCAGTATGTTAATCTTTGAAGTTTGAACTGTGGGATGAGATTACCTCATATTACAGTGTATTAGAAGCCCCATTAAGGAGTCAGTACTCAATGAGTTGTCCTCATTATAGCACTTTGGTGAAGGATCCTGTTAAATTTGAGGTGGCTTCGCTGTTCTTGCTTTCACCTGATTCAATTTTTACCGTATTCAATTATACTTCTATAACATCCTTAATATTCGACTCATGCTTTAGGATAATTAACTCGAGCTCCGTACCGAACTTTTCCACTCCCCTTCCCCCAATAAATCAAGAAAAAGAAAACAGAAAGAGTTCAGATGTTTTTCAAACTGCTTAATTCATTCTCTACCATTGTATGATGAGTATAATGAAACAGACTTGTTGTGCTTTTCCAATGTGGACAATTGTGTCTCAAACTGTGTTATCTACCGCTTCATGATCTCGAATAATAGTATTTTGCTTGATTTTAGTCTCAGCCTCTAATTTTTAGTATATGACTTGGTAAGGTTAGCCTTATGATCTATGATTAATGGATCAAGAATGAAGCATAATTCGAAATTCCACATGCCTTTTACTAAATGTTAGAAGGAAGACTTCTGTTTATAATCAGTAATCACCGTGGCACAATACCGAAATCAAATTTATGTGCTAAATAAATAAATAATAGGTGTAGTGAGTAAGGGTCTAGAATGTGATCATCTTGTACCAACTGAACGACAAAGCAATGAAAATAAAAATAGTATAGAGATAAAGAACAAAAGAAGCAGAAAAAGTAAATTACAACATATTAAAACACATGACAGTTATTTGAATGCTTTTATCTAGACACATTAGTACATTATTTTTGAATGAAGGTCTACATTGTAAGGTGGAGGTTAGTGCACGATGTAATTTATCCTTTTTCCCATGTTTTCATCTCTTCAGCTATTTATTTCATATTTTTGTCATATTCCATTTGTAACAATCTCATGTCCTTGCTATAACTTATTTGGGCCTAACTTAAGTATGTGGCCTGTATTTATGCTGCTATTGGGTGTCCAAATATCAGTTTGTTGCTGCTTATAATTGTAAACTATTTCCAATTGGGCCTCACCAGTCCAATACTTATGTTGGACCAAAACAACCCTAAAGTACTGCAAATTAACCCCAAAATATGTAAATTGGAGCAAATCCGCCCACATAAATAAATAAGTTGGAAAATACAGAAGTCTGATGGAAATAAGTACATAAAAATGGACTATTAAACAACTTTGTAAAAACACCCAACTTTCCTCCTATTGATGAATGATGAGTAGAAATTTCACCTGGATTTCAGTATAATATGTGAAAGGAAACCTTGAGCTTGTGTATTGAGCAACAAAGTGCTAAATGAGTTTGATCTACCTCAATCATCGGGAGGTAGTGTTTTGCTCTTTCTAAGATGAACTGAACATTGACATTTCGAAGTGTTTCATTTTCTTGTTTCACTCATTCTATTCATAGACAGAATTTGTGATCAACATTTTGAAACCTGAAGTTTCAATCACCTTCAAATTTAGTCTAGCTTGGCTTAGGCAAATACACTTGTCACCAAATTTGCATTACTAGAGTTACATAAGTCGAGATAGATGGAAAGTAACTTGTGGGTCTCCCTTAAGAACTTATAATTAATTTAATATCATACACTGCTAGTTTTAGTAGCATATGTTCAGATATTAATTCTCTTAGTAGTCTTTTTTTTTTTAATAATTCTCTTAGTAGTCTTGACTGTAGAAAACCAATTCCAGTTTGCTGGGATTACTTGAAGAACTTCCTGATCTACATATGAAGTCCTTGACCAAACTAACGTCATCTGTCATCTATTGTACCAACCTTCAGAAGTTTCTCTGCAAACTTCCACTTATACAGCTCATGAGTCTCTTTATTGAATAATTGATGAAGCTTTACATGTGAAAGCGCTACACCAGTATATTTGCTAGTTATTATTTCAATAAATCGATAGGAATAGTTTAGTGGGAAACTGGGAACCGCCTTTTGTATTTCTAGTCCTCCATGTGATAATACCAACCTATTGTAAATGAAGTTTGGATGCCTAAAATGCTACAAGTCAGGACCCCATTAGGTATGCATGCAAATTGCTATCAGTTCTCTAAAATGAAAGTAGAAATAAAATAACAATGATAATTATGTGTGTGTATATAATAATTGGCATTATCCTGTTGTGCAGGTGTCCTGAGGCAAATAACACAAGAATCTTTGTTAATTGAAAACAGCAGTTTTGTTTATCTGTAGTGCTAGAAAGGCAAGTCCATATAGATGATGTGATATTTTATTTTCACTTCTGAAACAGGGTAAAACATGATTGTTACTTTACGCAGTGAGGATTTTGCAAATGAGCGGTGCATTATGATTTGGCATGGACAGTATTTCTCTTCCTAAGATCATTCAAGTAATTTACCGTGTTATGGTACCTTCCTTTTTCATAGAGGCATATTTACATGAATTTGGATGGAAAAGGATCATTACTTTGTTACTAGAATACGGCCACATGTTTTAGGTAGTAAAAGCCCATGTTTATGCCAAATTGCTCCAGAAATGGATGACTTTTTTGAAGATTGCAAATCCTACATTACTCTTATGGCAAAAAAACAAGACATTAGTTTTCCGAGTTAATGCAATTTGGAAGGTTACCTACTTGCCATGTCGTATTCCAACGGATTCGGTGCTTCGTTTTCAGTAAATAAATAAAATTATGGAAGTTGTCATGTTTTTCATGAAAATAGTTAGGTAGGATTAACTTTTTTTTTTCCAAAAATGTAATGATTTTGGAGCAAGTTGGCACGAAGTTTATTCATGGAATGTCGCGAGTCCCGTGTATCATCTTTGTTGACAGTGCAATTCCAGCTACAAGATTGAGTTATTGACTTATTGCATTGGGAAGCCCGTAGCATTTGTTTTCTGCATTTTGAGTTGCTCAAGTCAAAACCAAGCTTATCTTCTGTTACTTTTGTCCTAAAGTTGGATCAATATTATATTTGGATCTCGCTTTCACTCGAATCCCCAATACTTTATCATCATCATAGTATCCTTTCCTGAGTTTCCAACGTGCATCAACTTTCTTAATCATTTTCCCTATGATATGTAGGTTTTTATGGCCTTGCAAGCAGCTTTGACCGCAATTCGAAATGCAATGATATGCATTTATGCCTTCCGCATCTACTCATCATCTCAAGAAAAGGGTACAAAAAAACTCGTTAATTTCTTGTTCTGTAAACAGATTCACCGGTTGCACTTTGATTGTCTCTATGGTAAGTTTTTCGCACTTTGATAGAAAACGATTGGGAACTTCGGTTGACTGCTAGCTAAGAGATAAGCTGTCAAATGGGTAAAAAAAAGTTCAAACTTACTCATGGCCTCGTGGGAATAGATTAGTCAATCGAGTGGATTGACTTGAGCTCCTGATCTGTTACCACACGGCTTTTAAAACGACAGGAAAAAATTAGTCAAGAGATCACGCGATATTTTCTTGAAACTTTACGACTCCTATATTCTTCTTAATCATTATATATGCTTGAGCACCCATGTGCTTGTGCTAGTATTCGTGTGCTTATCTTCTCATTTGGTTTGCTTTAAGAAGTCAATAGAGCGAATTATTCCATCAGGACAAAAGTTGCAGTTTTTTTGTGATTCTTAAGTTGACAATCCACAAATGTGGTTGGTGTTGTTTTTTTCTTACTGGTCCAAAGCTCTACACTTTGTCCAAATTAAGTAGCGCTTGTGTCACTAATCCCGCTTAATTATAATGATGGGGTTTTGACTAAATGCTTAGAATATTGTGGGAACTAAAAATATCCGTTTATATGAGGAGAAAATCAGGTATTAGAATGATAAGCTAGCGTGTTGTCACGCGCTTATCCCTCAGTGTTCAATGATGGGACGTAGAAATGTGTAACCATGAATAGTTTAAGTTT